CCAGATAATTTAGCTTGCTGACAAGTCTGGATGGAACTATAGTATTAAAGCGGAGCTGTAATCAATTAATAGCATTCTAACATATGAGTCTTTATCATCCAGTGTGAAGAGGCAGGGAAATAGCATTGTCAGTGGACCTGTTATGCTGGTATTCAAAATGCTGGAGGTCAAAGTACTCAGGTACCATTGTGTTAATACCTCATGACCAGCCTTTCAAAACATTTCATTAGAGTAGATGTGATAGCTACTTGTCTGTAATCATTAAAACAGGTTGCAGTATTTTTCTTTGGCACTGGTATAATTGTAGTTTTCCTAAAACACACAGGAATGACAGATTGTAAAAGTGAATGATGAATATCAATATAATATTGAAATGTATTATTATTTTGAGAAACATGATGTATCCAATGTGTAATATTTAATACATAATATTAATCAGACTCATTGATTTTTTTGTCAAAACAAATTTTTAATATGTCTGCAGAATTATAAGAATTTATAAGATTTTTTTTAACAATCTCCCAGTGCAATGCTACACTGTTGTAAAAAGTTGTTACATATATAGAAAGACTTGGAAAATGAAGTACATATACATACACATTATTTCATTGGTGTAGAAGCATAAAGCTGCCTATGTGGTCCCTTTATTTTTTCATTGGGAATATGATGGATGATGTTTCAAGAAGGTTTCACTTGGCCCTGATAATGCAAAAATGCAGACAGGGAGTTTAAGCAGATAAAGATAGTAACAGCTACTCAGTGGATTTGCACTGCATTGTTTATGTGCCCCCCAAAATTGCAGCAATGAAATACTGAAACTAGAGAAAAAGAAAAGGTTTGACTACAAATGCACCTTGTAATGAGTGAAACATATTTGAATTGCAGTTAATGAGCCTGGTCATTAAACTTGAAATATGCAGTGAAAAGCTGAAGAATAAAAACTGGTGTCTAAAGACAGGAGACAGGCTGCTATATAAACATTGGAAGCAGTGATTTTGAACTTGGTTCCATTTTGCATTATTAAGTTTGGATCTCTATTGGATACCTTCTGATTGCATATATTATGAACTTACATTTTATCTAATGTTAATTCAGTTAAATTATAATTGTACTTTTTATGATTATTTTATTTTACTAAAAAGCCTCGTGATTTCCATATGAATTTATGATTCTACCAGTCGTAATGTACAAGTCTAAAATTTGCTCAGTATGGAAATAGAATTTTCAACACTTTATTTAATGGCACTTTAACTAATAATAATTGCTTACACTTATATAGTGCTTTTCTGGACACTCCACTCAAAGCGCTTTACAGGTAATGGGGACTCCCCTCCACCACCACCAATGTGCAGCATCCACCAGCCATAGTGTGCCAGAAAGCTCACCACACATCAGTTATTAGTGGGGAGGAGAGCAGAGTAATGTAGCCAATTCATAGATGGGGATTATTAGGAGGCCATGATTGGTAAGGGCCAATGGGAAATTTGGCCAGGACGCCGGGGTTACACCCCTACTCTTTTAGAGAAACGCCCTGCAATTTTTAATGATCACAGAAAGTCAGGACCTCGGTTTTATGTCCCATCCCTAGGGCAGTGCCTGTTTACAGTATAGTGTCCCCGTCACTATACTGGGGCATTAGGACCCACATGGACTGCAGGGTGAGCACCCCCTGCTGGCCCCACTAACACCTCTTCCAGCAGCAACCTTAGTTTTTCCCAGGAGGTCTCTCATCTACAGTAGGTACTGACCAGGCTCACACCTGCTTAGCTTCAGTGGGTTGCCAGTTGTAAGTTGCAGAGTGATATGGCTGCTGGCCATACACTTTTTTAGGTTTAATCCATAATGTTCAAGTTTCAAAGAAGAAAAAACAAATCAAAGATGTGATCATGCTATCCTTGTATAATCAGAAAGCTGTATGCATGGTAAATGTAAATGCTAATAAGCATAGAATTTGGTTTATACACCTTTCCTGTTAGAAATCTAAGACAAAATACCCCTGAATACAAAATATCTCTTTTCTCATTTGTTATTATTTAATAGAAAATAATTTGTCATCTTTCATTGACTGTCCTACAAATCTAATTTCCATTAATTAACTATTGGTATTTATCTAAGTTTGCAAAGGCATTTTCATTTGTATAAAAAAGTTGTTGCCATTAAATGAACAATTGAACTCGTTGCTTGTTGCAGAGCTCTGTATTAAACTTGTCATATTTACTTTAAGATTTAATCATCAGAAACTCCATATAATTTATCAAATGATTTCATTTACTGGTAAATGTGAAACTTCTAAAATGTAAGACAGGCAATATATGATTTCCTCATTAAATTAATCTGGCTTTAAATGCTTTTGATATTTCTTAGTACAAGTAAGGGATTATTGGCGTTTTATTATTGAGCCTTGATTTATTTTCTTGTAATATTTTTAATGAATTAAATACTGATAATCAAATACTTTAAAAACTATTTTTTGAACTCCTAATTAAGGTGTACACCTATTGTTTGGTTGGTGTGATTATTTGTGTAACCAGATAAAAATAACAACAGAGAGAGAAAATAAATATTTTATCCTCCATTACAATGTTGTCCTAAATCTATCTCTTAGCCTTTCTAGTTTCATTTTTATTTACGCATGCAATTCACTGTATTCTTTTTCTTTAGCTTGATACTAGTTTTTATTTGTTAATTCATACTACAGGAATACTGCTTTTCAGCCTTCACTCACTCTTGCTGTAAATCTGTTCTGTGCTTCAGGTAGAATTATTTTAAATGGTTACCAGCCATTTTCAACAGATTATATATGAATGTTGTCCCTTTCTACTTTAATACATTCTATAATCTATTTTAAGCAATAATTTCTTCCAAGTCTGCTTTCAAAATTGAAATAGTGAACTTCTGGACTCAAGTTTCTTTAGTTCATTATGTTATTAGCCTTGAGTTGTGATGACAGATTAACACATGAAATCATAACATTTGAAGTTGCTCTAATGTCACACATTTTTTTAAATGTAACATATTTTAATATTAACCACCTAAGAGTGGCCTCACTTTTTAACCCACAAATATTGTAGTTTCAGCTAAATATTAAATATCAAAAGGGCATAAGGCCTGTCAGATTTTGTTCCAACTTTAATTGTCAATTACAATTAATTGATCTAATTGCTGCTTCATTTTGACAGCATTTAACAATTTTAAAGGTCCCTAAAAGAAGACAATAAGTTATATTTGAAGTATAATACACTACTATAACACTGTAAACCTAGCGTATTAGCAAATATGAAAGCTTTAATGAAAAAAACAAATGTATCTTTTGACTATCCAGGAACTCAGTATGACACCTCTATTGTATAATGTAGTGTTCTGTCTTGATTAAGATCCACATTTAATAACACACTATTTATCATAATGTGCTAAAGTATCAGTATTACAGTTTATTGATTTTGCTTAGTTAATTTTTAGCATAGAGGATTGTTTGTTTAGAGGATATTCACAGGATGTACCTGTAACGATTCACAATCTTACAGTTTAGGGATACTATAACCCTGAATATTTTCATCTACACTTCATCAGAAACGTCTTTTGGTTCATAAGAAAGACTAAATCTCCTAATGAAAATGGGTATTTATTTGAGCAAATCTAACTCCTTCGGATGAGACGTAAAACCGAGGTCCTGACTCTCTGTGGTCATTAAAAATCCCA